TATACAGTCCCATCTATAAATATGTTAAACAACCATGGTGACATTACACATCCATGTCTAAGGTCTACTTTTACTTGAAAGTAAGCTTCCTCTCTCCTACACACCCTAACTTGAGCCTCACTATCGTCATAAAAACTCTTTACAGCATTTACTAACTTACTACCTATTCCATACACTTGCAACATCTGCCACATTGCTCCCCTGTCATATGCTTTTTCAAAATCCATAAATGCAACGAAAACTTACCTTCTTCTTTCAACGTACCAGCTGTATCCCACCGAGGTGGGGTGGCCCAAAAGAAAAAACTAAAGTTTCTCCTTTTAAATTTAGTAATATATACAGGAAAAGGGGTTACTAGCCCCTTGCTCCCAGCATTTTAGTCGCCTCTTACGACACGCATGGCTTACAGAGGAAGAATTCTGTTCCACTTCACCATGGAAATAAGAGGAAATAAACAAGAACAATAATTAGAAAGAAAATAGAAGTAAACCCTGAGGGGTGTGTATATATGTGCTTGTACACGTATGTGTAGTGTGACCCAAGTGTAAGTAGAAGTAGCAAGACATACCTGTAATCCTGCATATTTATGAGACAGACAAAAGACATCAGCAATCCTACCATCATGTAAAACAATTACAGGCTTTCATTTTACACTCACTTGGCAGAACGGTAGTACCTCCCTGGGCGGTTGCTGTCTACCAACCTACTACCTACAAAAAACTTACCTACCTTTATCTAAATTTTGTTCACTTATATGCTTCAATGTAAAAACTTGGTCTGCACATCCCATACCTTTTCTAAAGCCTCCTTGTTCATCTGCAATCCTGTTCTCTGTCTTGCCTTTAATTCTTTCAATAATAACCCTACCATACACTTTACCTGGTATACTCGGTAAACTTCTCTTTCAACACACCGGCCACATCCCACTGAAACAGGATGGCCTAGAAAGAAAAACAAAAGCTTCTCCTTTTAAGTTTAGTAATGTATACAGAAGGGGTTACTAGCCCCTTGCTCCGACTCAGTAAACTACTACTATAATTTTTACATTCTCTTTTGCCCCACTTCTCTTTATATAAAGGAACTATACACTCTCTCCGTCAGTCCCTAGGTACCGTCCCCTCTTTCATACATTTATTGAAGAAAAGTACCAACCACTCCAAAAATATATCCCCAGCTGCTTTTAATATTTCTGTCATAATCCCATAAATTCTAGCTGCTTTACCCCTCTTTCATTCTACCCAGTGCCTCAGGCACCTCCCTCACACTCACATCCAGCTCATCATCACTTCTGAAAGATGTTATACCTCCCTGGCCAGTGCATGAAATTACTGTCTCCCTTTCTTCATGAACATTTAACAATTCCTCAAAATATTCCTGCCATCTTCCCAATACCTCTAACTTTCCATCTACTAACTCCCCTATTCTGTTTTTAACTGTCAAATCCATTTGTTCCCTAGACTTTCTTAATCTATTTATCCCACTTCAAATTTTTTTCCTATTTTCAGCAAAATTTGTTGACAGCACCTCACCCACTCTATCATTTGCCCTCCTTTTGTACTCCCTCACCACTCTCTTCACCTCTCTTTTACTCTCCATATACTCAACCCTTCTTATATATCACTTCTGCTTTGTTAAAACCTCTCATAAGCGACCTTTTTTTCTTTTATCACACCCTTTACCTCATCATTCCACCAGTCAGTCCTCTTTCCTCCTGCACCCACTCTCCTATATTCATAAACTTCTGCCCTGCATCCCACCCTTCTTCAACCCCTGCACTACCTATACTCTCTAGCCCACCTTTCTCCCAATAGTTGCTTATGTCTCGCCCTAACTTCATCCTCCCTTAGTTTATAAATTTTCACCTCTCTCTTACTTGCTGCTGCTATTTTTCTTTTGCCCCATCTACCTCTTACTCTAACTGTAGCTACAACTAAATAATGACCTGAAATATCTTTTACCCCTCTATAAACATGCACATCCTGAAGTCTACTCATTATCCTTTTATCCACCAATACATAATCTATCAAACTACTTTCATTACGTGCTGTATCGTATCTTGTATGCTTATTTATCCTCTTTTTTTTCTTAAAATATGTATTATTACTGAACCCCTCTCTATACATAGTTTAATTAATTTTTATTTACCCCTGGCACCCCAAGCTTACCTACTACTATCTCCACAACAGTTTTACCCACTTTAGCATTTAGGTCCCCTACAACAAGTACTCTCTCACTTAGTTCAAAATTCCCTACGCACTCATTCAACATTTCCCAAAATATTCAATATTCTGCCCCCCCCCCCCCCCCCCTCTCTCTCTCTCTCTCTCTCCTCTCTCTCTCTTCTCTCCTCTCTCTCTCTCTCTCTCTCTCTCTCTCTCCTCTTCTCTCTCTCCTCTCCTCTCTCTCTCTCTCTCCCCTCTTTCCCTCTCTCATCTCTCTCTCTCTCCTCTCTCTCTCTCTCTCTCTCTCTTCTCTCCTCTCTCTCTCTCTCTCTCTCTCCTCTCTCTCTCTCTCTCTCTTCTCCTTCTCTCTCTCTCTCTCTCTCTCTCTCTCTCTCTCTCTCTCTCCTCTCCTCTCTCTCCTCTCTCTCCTCTCTCTCTCTCTCTCTCCTCTCCCTCTCCTCTCTCTCTCTCTCTCTCTCTCTCTCTCTCTCTCTCTCTCTCACTCTCTCTCTCTCTCTCCTCTCCTCTCTCTCTCTCTCTCTCTCTCTCTCTCATCTCTCTCTCCTCTCTCTCTCTCTCTCTCTCTCTCTCTCTCTCTCTCTCTCTCTCTCCACTCTCTCTCTCTCTCTTCCTCTCTCTCTCCTCTCCTCTCTCTTTTTCTCTCTCTCTTCACTCTCTCTCTCTCTCTCCCCTCTCCTTTCTCACTCTCTCTCTCTTCTCCAATCACTTTTCCCCTTTCACATTCAACCCTTGTTGTTCAATAAATCTCTTCACTTATATTACAGTTAGCTATCTCTCTCTCTCTGCTGTCTTTACTTTCTACTAATTTATGTTTCTTTACTCTCGTCTCCACTTCTTCATTCTCTAACATTCTTTTTCCAGGCCAGAACACTATATTATTCCACATACCCCAAATTTTCAAAATGTTTGTTTCAAGAAGTGAAATTACCTGTCCACTTATTATATACAGTTTAGCTATCTCACTCCTCTCTGTCTTGGACTTTCTCTTATGTACAAATTTATGTTTACTTTAGTTTCGACTCACTTCGTTGCATTTCTCTAAACTTACATTTTAACCCGTAAATGGTCCAAACGTATATATACGTTCTCACGAGTAGTGCCCCAAATTTTTCGAGAAATTTTTTTTTTAATAGGAAAAAAGAGCATATGGTACCCAGGCATCCCCAATTATTTTAATATGGTGCACAGTGAGTGCGCACACCCATTCTCTCATGTCTAGGCGACTCAGGCTTATCGTGGCAATGTTGAATGTATGACAAAATGTATATAGTACTGTACTGTATATGTTTGGGGCACTAGCGGTAAAAACGTATATATATACATTTTGACCGTTTATGGGTTAAACTGTTGTATACAGTGTATTTTCTTAAGTGTAGACACTTGCACCATAGCCTTTTATTCCACTTTTTATCTAACAGATATAATTTTTTTCAGTATTTCACTATATATATAATATTTGAAGTATGATATAGTATGTGCCAGTACTGTATAGTGTAAGAGTACTCAGTACAGTATGTGCTGCATTTATCTGGCCTTAGTGATAATTCTGTAAATATATTTAGTTCAACTCAGTGAGTGCATCATAGTGAAAATTATTATAAGAATCTACACCTTTAAGAGATTTCATCTACCATACATGTATTAATGTTCATAACAGTTATCTTATGCATCATAAGGAAATTTTATTTACTTAATTAACAACTCCAACTTTCTTTTTTAAATTTTGTATAAGGAAGCATACACAGTTATACCACACAACAATACCTATAAAAAGAAAACAAGCCACAGTGAAAAAAAAGAGTGAAATTGAAAGCACTTATGTGATTTCTCACATAATGTGAGAAATCCTGAAAGTGCTTGAAATTTCACACTTTTTGTTTCTGGTTATTTTGCTTATTAAGATATCACCTGTTTTCTGTGATCTTATTGCAACACTTCTTATGTTAACAATAAAAGGGTTATAGTTACTCTTTGGGCCTTGGTACAAATAATAGGAATAATAAAGAATTGAAAGATACAATAAACAGCAATCTGTGAAAAGAATAGTCCAGCTTTGAAAACGTGATTTTAATCATATTACACTGCAGCATTTCATATGGCATAAAAATTTGCAAGGTTTATATTGATTTGTTTGGTTCTTTACAGTATCCAGTCTACTCTCATCCATGTTTACATAGATTCACATTTTTTTTATCAGTACATACATTTTAGATAGTGAATGGAGACGAATGGTATTTGGGACCTGACGAGCTGGTGGAGTGTGAGCAGGGCAATATTTAGTGAAGGGATTCGGGGAAACCGGTTATTTTTATATAGTCGGACTTGAGTCCTGGAAATGGGAAGTACAGTGCCTGCACTTTAAAGGAGGGGTTTGGGATATTGGCAGTTTGGAGGGATATGTTGTGTATCTTTATACATATATGCTTCTAAACTGTTGTATTCTGAGCACCTCTGCAAAGACAGTGATTATGTGTGAGTGAGGTGAAAGTGTTGAATGATGTTGAAAGTATTTTCTTTTTTGGTATTTTCTTTCTTTTTGGGTCACCCTGCCTCGGTGGGATACGGCCGACTTGTTAAAAAAAAAAACATACATTTTATTGAAGACAAAGAAAAATATATTGTACATGATGTACAAAAGGAGCAGTCTTTTTAACTATGGCAAACTGTATTGAGGCACAGGATTTTGTCTTTATACTTCGTTTATATTACAAATTAGTTACAAACTAGAGGGCATCTTTGGGTAAAACTTATTAAACAGTTTGCTTACCATAAGTATTCAGTTTAGCAGTATCCATAAGTTTAATGATATTTTCTTAGGTTACATAGCATGAAGCGTGCTCAAAGGCAACAGGAAATCAAGTGTCAGGAGACTCGTGATTTTCTTGAGCTTCGAGGAGTCACTAGAACATCACGCACCGAGCAGTTGGCAACACAGGTAAGCAATAAAAAATATGCTAAAAGTGTATGTAATTACTATTTATGACTTTATTATTGGTAATGCTAAGCTTGTATATACAGTGCAGCCTCTTCTCACTTTACGACGGAGTTCCGTTCCTAAGACCACGTCAGTCAATGAATTCATTGCTAAGTGGGGAGCATACTATAATGGCAGTGGGTTTGTGTCAGCCATCTTTGATATTGTTTTAATTTAACCTTTGCACCATTTATAACATTTCTCATGTATTTTTAAATGTTTATACAGTACAGTTAAACTTCAGCGTATGGGTTTAATCTGTTCTGGGACCTTGCTCGTATCCCGATTTGCTTGTATGTTGAGTCAATTTTCCTCATGTAAATTAATTGAAATGGCATTAATCTGTTCCAGAGGAATTCCAGGCACGACAGAATACCTCAATATTTCACTAATATCAACTTGACGGCTTATTTATCTATACACATTCATCTAATATGACATAAACAATATTAATAACATAGAAACATTATATATACAGTGGACCCCCGGTTCGCGATGCCATCGGTATCCGATATATCCGGTATTCGATGCATTGTATCGCAAAAATTTTGCCTCGGTTCCTGTTACAAAACCCGGTATACGCGATTTGTCCGAGATGTGTCCATGTGTGGCCTGAACTGCCCTGTGTGTGCCAGTATTTACAAGCCAGCAAGTGTGCTCGCATCTAAGGATACATTCGGTACATTCCATATTATCAGTTTTTTGGTGCTTGTTTCTGCAAAATAAGTCACCATGGGCCCCAAGACAGCTTCTAGTGCCAACCCCTCGAGAACAAAAGTGCTAATGACTATTGAAATGAAGAAAGAGATAATTGCAAAGTACGAAAGTGGAGTGCGTGTGTCGGAGCTGGCCAAGTTGTATACAAAACCCCAATCAACCATCTCTACTATAGTGACCAGGAAAACGGCAATCAAGGAAGCTGTTGTTGCAAAAGGTGCAACTGTGATTACGAAACAGCGACCACAAGTGTTAAAAAATGTTGAGAGACTGTTATTGGTGTGGATAAATGAAAAACAGATAGCAGGAGATAGCATCTCTCAAGCGATCATTTGTGAAAAGGCTAGGCAGTTGTATGATGATTTGGTAAAGAAATTGCCTGCAACTAGTGGTGATGTGAGTGAATTTAAGGCCAGCAAAGGTTGGTTTGAAAGATTTAAGAATCGGAGTGGCATACATAGTGTGATTAGGCATGGTGAGGCTGCCAGTTCAGACCAAAAAGCAGCTGAAAAATATGTGAAGGAATTCAAGGATTACATAGACAGTGAAGAATTTAAACCTGAACAAGTGTTTAATTGCGACGAAACAGGCCTGTTTTGGAAGAAGTTGCCAAGCAGTACCTACATTACTCAGGAGGAAAAGGCACTCCCAGGACATAAGCCTATGAAAGACAGGCTTACTCTTCTGATGTGTGCCAATGCTAGTGGTGATTGCAAAGTGAAGCCTTTATTGGTGTATCACTCAGAAACTCCCAGAGCGTTCAGGCAAAAGACTGTCCTCAAGGCTAATTTGTGTGTGCTGTGGAGGGCAAACAGTAAGGCATGGGTCACTAGGGACTTTTTCTATGACTGGTTACACCATGCATTTGCCCCCAATGTGAAAAAGTACCTAATTGAAAAGAAATTAGACCTTAAGTGCCTCCTGGTATTAGACAATGCCCCTGGTCATCCTACAGACTTGGCAGAGTGACTTTCTGGGGACATGAGCTTCATTAAGGTCAAGTTTTTGCCTCCTAATACCACTCCTCTCCTGCAGCCCATGAACCAGCAGGTCATTTCCAACTTCAAGAAACTGTACACAAAAGCTATGTTTGAAAGGTGCTTTGAAGTGACCACAGACACTCTATTGACTCTAAAGGAGTTTTGGAAGGATATCTTTAATATCCTCAATTGTGTAAACCTTATAGGTAAGGCTTGGGAGGGAGTGATTAAGAGGACCTTGAACTCTGCCTGGAAAAAACTGTGGCCAGAATGTGTAGACAAAAGGGGTTTCGAAGGGTTTGAGGCTAACCCTGGGAATCCTATGCCAGTTGAGGAATCCTTTGTGGCATTGGGAAAGTCCTTGGGGTTGGAGGTTAGTGGGGAGGATGTGGAAGAGTTGGTGGAGGAGGACAATGACGAACTAACCACTGACAAGCTGCTAGATCATCTTCAACAGCAAGAGGCCAGACCTGAGGAGACTGCTTCGGAGGAGGGGATGGAGAACGTGAAGAAGTTGCCTACTTCAAAGATTAGGGAAATGTGTGCAAAGTTGCTTGAAGTGCAAAGCATTTTTGATGAAAATCACCCTGACACAGCTACTGCAAGCCATGTTGGCAACCTGTACACTGACAATGTTGTGAACCACTTTAGAAAAGTCATAAAGGAACAAGAAGTACAGGCCTCTATGGACAGATATGTTGTGCGACAGAAGTCCAGTGACTCTCAAGCTGGTCCTAGTGGCATTAAAAGAAGGAGGGAAGTAACCCTGGAAAAGGACTTGCTACCTCAAGTCCTAATGGAGGGGGATTCCCCTTCTAAACAATAAGTTTGACACTCTCCCCTCCTCCCATCCCATCAATCATCACCAGATCTTCATTAAAGGTAAGTGTCATGTATTCTATTGTTAGTAGAGTACATACTACAAACTGTGCATGTCTTCTTCAGTTTGTGTGCATTAAACTTAATATTTCATGTGGTAAATTTTTTTTTTCGTACTTTTGGGTGTCTTGCACGGATTAATTTGATTTCCATTATTTCTTATGGGGAAAATTGATTCGCTTTCCGATAATTTTGGTTTACGATGAGCTCTCAGGAACGGATTAATACAGTGGACCCCCGCATAACGATATTAATCCGTTCCTGAGAGCTCATTGTTATGCGAAATTATCGTTATGCGAATGAATTTTCCCCATAAGAAATAATGGAAATCAAATTAATCCGTGCAAGACACCCCAAAGTATGAAAAAAAAAATTTTACCACATGAAATATTAATTTTAATACACACAAACTGAAAAAGGCATGCACAGTTACATGACACTTACCTTTATTGAAGATCTGGTGATGATTGATGGGATGAGAGGAGGAGAGAGTCTTAGTGTTTAGAAGGGGAATCCCCTTCCATTAAGACTTGAGGTGTTAAGTCCTTTTCTGGGGTTACTTCCCTTCTTCTTTTAATGCCACTAGGACCAGCTTCAGAGTCACTGGACTTCTGTCGCACAACATATCTGTCCATAGTGACCTGTACCTCTCGTTCCTTTATGACTTCCCTAAAGTGTTTCACAACAGTGTCAGTGTAATAGTCACCAGCACGGCTTGCAATAGCTGTGTTAGGGTGATTGTCATCAAAAAAGGTTTGCACTTTAAGCCACATTCCACACATTTCCTTAATCTTTGAAGTAGGCAGCTTCTTCAATTTCTCTCTCCCCTCCTCCGAACCAGTTTCCTCAGGTCTGGCCTCTTGCTGTTGAAGTTGATCTAGCAGCTCATCAGTGGTTAGTTCTTCATTGTCCTCCTCCACCAACTCTTCCACATCCTCCCCACTAACCTCATACCCCAAGGACTTTCCCAATGCCACAATGGATTCCTCAACTGGCATACTCCTCTCAGGGTTAGCCTGAAACCCTTCAAAATCCCTTTGGTCTACACATTCTGGCCACAGTTTCTTCCAAGCAGAGTTCAAGGTCCTCTTAATCACTCCTTCCCAAGCCTTACCTATAAGGTTTACACAATTGAGGATATTAAAGTGCTCTCTCCAAAACTCTCTTAGAGTCAATTGAGTTTCTGAGGTCACTACAAAGCACCTTTCAAACAGAGCTTTTGTGTACATTTTTTTGAAGTTTGCAATAACCTGCTGGTCCATGGGCTGCAGGAGAGGAGTGGTATTAGGAGGCAAAAACTTGACCTTAATGAAGTTCATGTCCCCATAAAGTCGCTCTGCCACGTCTGTAGGATGACCAGGGGCATTGTCTAACACCAGGAGGCACTTAAGGTCTAATTTCTTTTCAGTTAGGTAATCTTTCACATTGGGGGCAAATGCATGGTGTAACCAGTCATAGAAAAAGTCCCTAGTGACCCATGCCTTACTGTTTGCCCTCCACAGCACACACAAATTAGCCTTGAGGATATTCTTTTGCCTGACGCTCGGGAGTTTCTGAGTGATACACTAATAAAGGCTTCACTTTGCAATCACCACTAGCATTGGAACACATCAACAGAGTAAGCCTGTCTTTCATAGGCTTATGTCCTGGGAGTGCCTTTTCCTCCTGAGTAATGTAGGTCCTGCTTGGCATTTTCTTCCAAAACAGGCCTGTTTCATCACAATTAAACACTTGTTCAGGTTTCAGTCCTTCACTGTCTATGTACTCCTTGAATTCCTGCACATATTTTTCAGCTGCTTTGTGGTCCAAACTGGCAGCCTCACCATGCCTTATCACACTATGTATGCCACTACGCTTCTTAAATCTCTCAAATCAACCTTTGCTGGCCTTAAATTCACTCACATCATCACTAGTTGCAGGCATTTTTTTAATTAAATCCTCATGCAACTTCCTAGCCTTATCACTTATGATCACTTGAGAGATGCTATCTCCTGCTATCTATTTTTCATTTATCCATATCAGTAAGAGTCTCTCAACATCTTCCATCACTTGCGATCTCTGTTTCGAAAACACAGTTGAACCTTTGGCAAGAACAGCTTCCTTGATTGCTGTTTTGTTGCCCACAATAGTAGCGATGGTTGATTGGGGTTTATTATACAACCTGGCCAGCTCGGAGACACGCACTCCACTTTCATACTTAGCAATGATCTCTTTCTTCATCTCTATAGTAATTCTCACCCTTATTGCTGTAGGGTTGACACTAGAAGCTTTCTTGGGGCCCATGGTCACTTATTTTGCAGATAAAATCACCAAAAACACTAATAATGTGAAATGTTCCGATTGTATACTTGGATGTTACCGCGGAGGCTGGCTGATAAACAATGCCACCGGCAGAACATGTGAGGCTGGCTCAGGCCGCACATTAGACGCGTCTCGGACGAACAGCGTTGAGCGGGTTTTTTAGCGGTATGCGAGGCAAAATCTTAGTGATAAAATGTATCGGTATGCGGATTTAACGTTATGTAATGCCAACGGTATGCGGGGGTCCACTGTATTGCAAACTGGGGGTCCACTGTACACTAGAATGAATAAAATGCTATGTCATTACGTATGTGGCTAGTGGTGGTGGCAGCGGCGGGACAGCAGCCATTGATAAGAAACACCAATATGAAAAGCAATATAGACAGGGCTTAATACACAAAGATATTCTTAAACAATATTCAACAGTTCTCACCAAATCATAAAGAAAGCCAAACAACTGTACTTCTCCAGCAGATTCAATGACACAAGAGGAGATATAAAAAAGACCTGGAAAACACTTTCCCAGATTCTGGGGACCCACAAACTGAAAAAAACAAGAATATTGTTCTAACTAAACCTCATGAAAAACCACTGCATCCCACTGATACAGCTAACAAGATAAACAACTTCTTCTCAAACATAGGATCTAATCTTGCCAGTAAAATCCCACGTACCAATGCCTGTGCCGGGGACTACCTAGATGGGAATTTCCCAAATTCCTTCTATCTTGTACCAACTGAGCCCACGGAAGTCACCGCGATCATAAAGTCACTTAAAAATAACTTGGGGAATCTGTCTCATGTCCCACCATTATTGTACAAGCGAGCAGCCCACTTCCTTTTGCATGCTATTACATTACTTTTTAACAAGTCACTAGAAACTAGCACCTTCCCGACACTACTCAAGACAGCAAGGGTTACACCAGTACATAAAGGTGGTGACCCTACAGACGTAAACAACTATAGGCCAATATCAAACTTACCATTGCTATCCAAAATCTTTGAGAAACTCGTGCACAGGAGACTATATTCATTTATAACCTCACAAAACATACTCAACCCCTGCCAATTTGGATTCAGGAAAAATAAAAGCACTAATGATGCAATTATAAAAATGCTAGACCTGCTTTACACAGCATTGGAAAATAAGGAATATCCGCTAGGATTTTTATTGACCTAAGAAAAGCGTTTGACACAGTAGACCACGGCATCCTACTCCACAAATTTGACCACTGTGGTATAAGAGGCCATGCACTTGCATATTTTATATCCTACCTTTCTAATAGGTATCAGTATGTCACCATTAAAGACACAGCCTAATCAATACGGCCACTTGATACTGGAGTTCTGCAGGAAAGTGTCCTTGGACCCCTGCTCTTCCTCATTTACATCAATTATCTTCCAAACATATCCCAACACCTGAAACCCATTCTCTTTGCTGACGACACAACTTATGTCATCTCCCACCCTAATCTTGCCACCCTCAACACCATTGTTAACGAGGAGCTGCTCAAAATATCGACTTGGATGACAGCCAATAAACTTACACTTAACACTGGCAAAACCTACTATATTATGTTTGGTAGCACAGCAGGTGTTGCGCAACTTAACATTAAAATCGACAACACTCTAATTGCCAGACATAATGAGGGCAAATTCCTTCGCCTATACCTTGACAACAACCTAAATTTCAGCACCCATATCCAACACATAACAAAAAAAGTATCCAAAACGATGGGGATCCTCTCCAAGATACGAAATTATTAAACTCAATGAACAAGGTATGTGGATGGCAGTAAGCATAGTAATAATTGCTCTGGGATGCTTTCAATGTCATATGTTATTATAAACATTTTCATTACTCCATCTGACATTTTTTCAAAATTATATAATAAATACGCTACATATACTATACACAAAATATATACAATCACTGTAAAACAAACATTGTGGGATGTGGTAGCTGGGCGGGCTACCACACCTGACTTCCTAAAATAAATACTGCTTGCCTCTCACCCTACATTAAGACCACAAATACATTTTAAGGTATGTATTGAGTGTACTGTATGTGCATTTTGTTTTGTTTTTACATCTTGTTCTATTGCTAACTTAATATATGATAGTGTAAACATGTTATCTGGCATATATATATATTTATAAGTGAAAAAAAAGGGTAGTTCGCTTTATGGCATTAGTATGGAACCTAACCCACCATAAAAGCAAGCACTACTGTATTTTGTATGATCAAATAATGTTTTAAATTTCAAAGTATTTTAAGGTGTCATCAGGATGTAAAATGAGTAATTTGATATTAATTCTATGGGTATATGGGTATTCTCCCTGACATTTTCAGTGTCATGCATAATAGAGTAAGTGGTCCTCCTCTTTCAGGTTGAAGACTGCCGTGTGAAGGTAGCATTACTCAGGGAACAGCTAGAGGCTGAGATTGACCAACTTCGAGCACTTAAGCTCTCGGCTGATAGTCTTGATAATCAAAACCAAGAGAAGGGTACGGTAATATAATGCACTGGATGAAATGCAGAAATATTAATGGGTTTATGATTTCACTTTTCTTGTTTGTACCTTTTTTTTTTTTCAACGATACAGCTGTATTCCACCAAGGCAGGGTGACCTAAAAAAAGAAAAAAGAAAAAAAAGAAGTTTTTCTTTTTAAATTTAATAAGTTACTAGCCCCTTGCTCCCAGCATTTTAGTTGCCTCTTACAACTTGCATGGCTTACAAAGGAAGAATTGTGTTCAATTTTCCCATGGAGATAAGAGGAAATAAAGACAAAAACTATTAAGAAAATAGAAGAAAACCCAGATGGGTGTGCAAATATATATGCTCCTACATGCATGTGTAGTGTGACATAAGTGTAAATAGCAGTAGCAATATATACCAGCAATCCTACCATCATGTAAAACAATTACAGGTTTCTGTTTCACACTCGCTTGGCAGGACAGTAGTACCTCCCTGGGTGGTTACTGTCTACCAGCCTACTACCTAGGTTATATATATCTTTCAGCCAACCAGCCGTTTCCCATTGAAGCAGGGTGGCCCAAAGAGAAAAACACAAGTTTATCTTTTTAACTTTAGTAATGTATACAGGAGAAAGGTTACTAACCCTTTGCTCCTGGCATTTTAGTCTCCTCTTACAACACGTATGGCTTACGGAGGAAGAATTCTGTTCCACTTACCCATGGAAATAAGAGGAAATAAAAAAGAACATGAACTAGTAAGAAAATAGAAGAAAACCCAGAGGGGTGTGTATATATATGCTTGTACATGCTTGTGTAGTGTAACCTAAGTGTAAGCAGAAGTATCAGGGCATACCTGAAACCTTGCATGTTTGTGAGACAGAAAAAAGACACCAACAATCCTACCATTGTGTAAAACAATTACAAGTTTTCGTTATACACTCACTTGACAGGACGGTAGTACCTCCCTGGATGGTTGCTGTCTACCATCCTACTACCTAGAGGTTGTATATATCTGCTAAAAAATGAAATCATACTTAAGTAGCTTTATGGTTATATACAATATCAACAATGCTGATTTGTCAAGTAAGATATCTGGCCCATTTACTATCCTAAGCTTTCCACAAAATATTTCACTGCACATGATTCACAATAATCTTTGATACACCCAGTTTTGGTTATTACTTCTATACATTGCACTTTTAAGTTCACTGACTAGACCTTATATATAAAGCTTGAACAAGTCCAATGTGCTAACTAAAACTTACACACAGCTAAACACCTAAATTTACTCTGTTAACATATTACTCTATGTTAACATAGATGTTGTAAATCTGCAATCTGGTGATACAATAAGATAAAATTCTGTCTTATTATAAAAAGGAATGTTGATGTTGCAGCCTGGAGCATTATTGGAACTGTGATGTCAGTACACTATTGGCAAGAAAACAATTGAAAGAATTATGGTGAACATATTTCTCTCCTGTTTAGGTCACCCTACCTCAGTGGGAGACCGCTGGAGTGTTAACCCCTTAACTGTGGCAATTCTGGAAATTAAAATTCCTGTGTATAGCAAAATTTTTGTAAAAAAAAAGTTTTTCTTAGTTTTATAGAGCACATTTTCTAAGTCTTTCAACAACAAATCGATCGTTTCCCACCAAGGCAGGGTGGCCCAAGAAGAAAAACAAAAGTTTCTCTTTTCAATTTTAGTAATGCATACAGGAGAAGGGGTTACTAGCCTCTTGCTCCCGGCATTTTAGTTGCTTCTTACGACATGCATGGCTTATGGAGGAAGAATTCTGTTCCACTTCCCCATAGAGATAAGAGGAAATAAACAAGAACAAAAACTAGTAAGAAAATAGAAGAAAACCCAGAGGGGTGTGTGTGTGTGTGTGTGTGTGTATATATATATATTATATATATATATATATATATATATATATATATATTATTAATATATATATATATATATATATATATAAAGGTAGTAGGTTGGTAGACAGCAACCACCCAGGGAGGTACTACCGTCCTACCAAGTGAGTGTAAAACGAAGCCTGTGATTGTTTTACATGATGGTAGGATTGCTGATGTCTTTTGTCTGTCTCATAAATATGCAAGATTACAGGCATGTCTTGCTACTTCTACTTACACTTAGGTCACACTACACATACATGTACACATTTATTTATACACACTCATCTGAGTTTTCTTTGATTTTATCTTAATAGTTCTTGGTCTTATTAATTTTCCTTTTATATCCATGGGGAAGTGGAATAAGAATCTTTCCTCCGTAAGCCATGCGTGTTGTAAAAGTCAACTAAAATGCCGGGAACAATGGGCTAGTAACCCCTTTTCCTGTAAAGATTACCTAAAAAGAATAAGAAAGAAAATTGGTCAAAGTGGGAAGTCTGAAAGTGCTGGATGTTGTGCAGAATATAAGAAAGAGATGATTGTGGATGTTATAATGAGAAAAAGGCTGATGTCCGGCTTAAGTGAAACAAAGGCTGAAGGGGGTGGGAGAGTTTCAGATGCAGAGAATAAATGGGATTAGGGTCAGGGGTTTCAAATAGAGTTTAGAGCAAAGAAGGAGTATCAATAGTCGAAAGGATAAGCTATGGCAGGAAAAGGGACTATAAATGTATTAATCAAGGATTATGGGAGCAAAATAAAGATTGGATGTGAAAAGTGGTTATAATACGCGTGTATGCACCTGGAGAAGAGAGAAGTGTAGAGGAAGAGAGAGATTTTGGGAAATGTTGAGTGAAATGCGTGGGAGTTTTGAATCGAAGTGTGAGAGTAATGGTGGTTGGGGATTTTAATGCTAAAGTGTGTAAAAATGTTATTGGAGGGAGTAGTAGGTAAATTTGGGGTGCCCAGGGGTAAATGTAAATAGGGAGCCTTTAATTGAGCTATGTGTAGAAAGAAATTTGGTAATAATTAATACATATTTTTTGAAAAAGAGGATAAATAAATATTACAAGGTATGATGTAGCACGTAATGAAAGTATTTATAGATTATGTATTGGTGGATAAAAGTGTTGATTGGTAGGCTCCAGGATGACATTGTTTATAGATGGTGCAACTGGATATATCGGATCATTATTTAGTTTTAGCTACAGTTAGAGTAAGAGGGTAGATGGAAAAGAGGAAGGTGGCAACAATAACAAGTAAGAGGAGTGAAAGTGTATAAACTAAGGGAGGAGGAGTTCGGGTGAGATAAAAGCCACTATTGCAGAAAGGTGGGCTATGCAAAGATGAGTAGTGGGGGGGTTGAAGAGTGGTTGGAATAGTTTTAAAAATGCAGTATAGAAAGTGGGGCGGAGGCGCGTGGAGGGGGAGGGGGGGGGGAGAGGTTTGTGGTTGACTAGAGGGTGGGGCAGGAGGAAAGAGTGAGTGATTGGTGGAATGATGAAGTAAAGGGTGTGATAACAGAAGAAAAAAAGTAGCTTATGAGAGGTTTTACAAAGCAGAAGTGTTATAATAAGAGCAGAATATATGGAGAGTAAAAGAAAGGTAAAGAGAGTGGTGAGAGTGTGCAAAAGGAGAGCAATGATAGAGTGGGAAGAGGCACTGTCAAGAAATTATAATGAAAATAAGAAAAAATTTTTGAGCGAGTTAAACAAGTTAAGAAGCCTAGGAAAATATGGATTTGTCATTTAAAAACAGAGTAGGGAGTTAGTAGATGGGGAGATGGAGTATTGGGTAGATGGCGAGGAATATTTTGAGGATCTTTTTAAAATGTTGAAGGAAGAAACAGAGGCAGTAATTTCCATGCACTGTCAGGGAGGTATACCATCTTTTAGGATGAAGAAGAGCAGATGTAAGTGTGGGGAGGTACGGAGGCATTACGTAAAATGAAAGGGGGTAAAGCAGCTGGAACGATGGGATCATGACAGAAAATGTTAAAAGCAGGGGGGATATAGTGTTGGAGTGTTGTACTTTTTGTTTTAATAAATGTATGAAAGAGGGGAAGGTACCTAGGGATTGGCAGAGAGCATGTATAGTCCCTTTATAATAAAGGGAAAAGGGGACAAAAGAGACTTCAAAAATTACAGAGGAATAAGCTTAGCTGAGTATACCAGGAAAAGGTACGGCTAGGGTTATAATTGAAAGAATTAAGAGGTAAGAACAGAATGTAGGATTGCGGATGAGCAAGTGAGTTTTAAGAGTGGGGTAGGGATGTGGTAGATCAGGTGTTTAATTAACATAATATTTGAACAGTATTTAGATAAAGATAGGAGTTTTTAATTGCATTTATGGATTTAGAAAAGGCATATGATAGAGTGGATAGAGGAGCAATGTGGCAGTTGCAAGTATAATGGAATAGGTGGTAAGTTATTAAAATGCAGGTAAAGATTTTTATGAGGATAGTGAGGCTTCAGGTTTAGGGTGTTAAAGAAGAGGGAGACTACTTCCCGTAAAAGGTAGTCTTAGACGGGATGTGTAATGTCACCATGGTTGTTTAATATATTTATAGAGGGGTTGTATAGGAAGTAAATGCTAGGGTGTTTGGGAGAGGGGTGGGATTAAATATGGGGAATCAAATTCAAAATGGAATTGACACAGTTAACTTTTGCTGATGATACTGTGCTTATGGGAGATTCCTAAAGAAAAATTGCAAAGGTTATGGATGAGTTGTTTGGGGGGGGGGGGGGGGGGTATGGGGTTAAAGGTAGAAAGTTTTGAAAGGAACATAGAAAAGAGTAAGGTGATGAGGGTGTCAAATGATTTAGATAAAGAAAAATTGGATATCAAATTGGTGAGGAGAGTATGGATAGAAGTTGAATGTTTTTCAGATACTTGGAGTTGACGTGTTCGCGGATGATTTATGAAGGATGAGGTAATCATAGAATTGATGAGGGAAAAAAGGTGAAGTGGTGCGTTGAGGTATAGTGGAGTCAAAAACGATATCTAGAGCAAAGAAGGGAATTATGAAAGTATAGTAGTACCAACACTTCTTATAAGGGTGTGAAGCTTGGTGGTAAATGCAGCAGCAAGGAGACGGTTGGAGGCAGCGGAGATGTCCTGTCTA